CTCTCCGATGTAGAATGAATGTTCTGATACACACCGTGCTATAAACGCGGAGCATGACGAACTCGAGAATGTTTTTTTATCTCACTCACGCACACGAAGTAGCATATAATGTAGAAAAAATTTACTTTTCTTCGGTCGAGTAGCTCGATGATGCAGTGGTTAAGCGCCGTGGCCGCGACCGTTATTGTTAAGGTCAACTTTCGCAAGTCGATCACGGGATGGGTGACCAAAAATTTTTATCTCAAGCTACTCCGTATTTCGGAAGACACGTTAAACCGTTGATCCCGGCTGCATTTGCAGTCTGTCAGCGAGAAGGGTCAAGGCCCATCTTCCTTAACCACCCATAACTAAGGCCTGACCCCTGCAATGGGGATGTATGAGGGCTGATGATGAGGTAGACAATGCGTTTCTCGAGTTTGTCATGCTACTCTTGCTGGTTGCAACAAATTACTGCCCTGCGATTATGTAAAAATCCAAACCCGAATTCAAATTCACTCAGGTGTCCGGATTCTCTTCAAAAAGCGGTATCTACTCAATCTTGAAAACCGTAATAACCTTTCGTGGCATAAGTGAAGTGAGTTACAAAATGACATAGGAATAGAATATCTGAGACGCGTACATTCAATCAATTTTGTTTTGTATTTTTATTTTGAATTTCTACACCAAATGCCATCAATTCGGACAAATTAGTGAATTCAAATTTTTACTGAATCACCCTGCTGTTCACTAATAGATTTGTAACATTTGAGTGAGAATGTTTATTCTTAATAATCTCAGTCACTAAGTCAGTGGAACATAACCGATCCTTCCCACTTGGTAACCCACGTAGTAACTTATACTTCGCGAATTATAACTATGAATATATTAACATTTAATTATAAGCTTCATTAGCATAGAGTCATAAATTTAAAAGTCACGTGACCGTGTCCTCTCAATGTCATTACCAAAATTATAATTTATGCAACATAGTCCTATAAAGGTGTTTAGGCATTATATACCCACAGCAAACGATGCGTTCTTTCTATACTGTTATTATAAAAAAAGTGTAATTATGTTTGTTTGTAATCTTCGGAAATAATAATCTAATCATGAATTTTTTTCACCTATGGGAAGCTACATCAGTCCCGGATAACATAGGCTACAATTTACGCAGACGAAAAAACAGTTAATTCTATTATAAAACGGTCACACTCGACGGCAAGCGCAGCGCTATAGCATAGGGTTATAGCATAGGGATTGAATCGAATAAAACTTACTTCAAAAGGTAATAAGTTTTTATTTAAGCTCTATGCAAACAACCAAGAACTTGACGTCACAGTGCTCGACGTCAAGTTCTTGGTTGTTTCTAATAGAATAGCAAAGTAGCTAACTTAACATGTCAAACATCCCATAAATGTAACTAACAGCATGCTTAACTATACATTTTAGAGACCATTTTAAGTTTTGCGTTACTTGTTGTTGAAAAGTAACCAAAAATAAACATAATTTCGTTTGTATATTCGAAACCAGAAATGAGAATTTTCCATAAAAACTTTCATCCCCTGACTTAGCCCCCTAGGGGTCGAATTTCATAAAATCACGTCTTAGTGAGCACCTATGTCCCAAAGAAACCCACATGCAAAATTTCTAACTCCTAGCACTTTAAGTTTCTGAGTGAGTGAGTGAGTGAATTTTACTTCCCCACTGCAAGGGCTCAGACCTTCCTTATGGATGGTTAAGGAGGATGGGCCATGACCCTCCACGCTAGCCCAATGCGGATTGGAGGGCATTAACGACTGCAAATGCAGTCAGGACCAACGGCTTAACGTGCCTTCCGAAGCACGGAATAGCACGAGATAATAATTTTTGGTCACCCATCCCGTGACCGACCCTTGCGAAAGTTGCTTAACGACAACGATCGCGGGAAATCACGAATAAAGGGTGCGATACCTTAAACAGTGCAAGGTTGCCTAAATAAAAGTAAAGACGTCATGTGCTATATTTCATGTTTCAAAGTGCTTGTTGCAATATACTGAAACAATTTCCACATCATATAATTGATCTTTATTTCTCTGATAGATGAATAACACGAAATATTACATGAAAATACACCTCACGATCATTTCTAATATTACATAACATAGAACCTAAACGGAAATTCTGCCATTTACTGCCGTGATAATTTTTTATTATGAACTGAAAATAAAACTATTTATCCAATAAAATAGTTGATGACAAAGAAAATAGGTTATTTTGCACTTCCTGCTTTCTTTAGAATTTATAACGCTGATCCTCTCACAATAGCTGGCAATATAGTTCCGATTCTTATCCGCTACTAAATCTAGACCAACGCGAGATGACGCAATTGACCCGTTACCTCAGAGCTTTACAGAATAATTGTATTACAACGCATCTATAATACATAGCTGGGTGTGCTCTTACGAGTTACTTATATTTCTATATATAACACTGCATGTAAGTAAAAATTAGGGTCATTGCCGTCTAGTTAATGTTCTTGGTAGTAATTGAATGGACAATAGCCGCAGTCTAGCCTGCAGACAATGCCTACGTCCGTTTCCTATGTTTCGACATACAGGCTTTTATTTTCGTTAGAGAAAAGAAACAAGACTGCATGCCCGTGCTACATGAAATCAAAAGCTAATTATTTTTACTTACTCAGTACCTATCTACCTATATCGAAAGTACATTAGGATACCATGATATGTCAAATAGTTGATTTTAAATTCTAACTTCAAACCATCAGATTCAAAGCATTAAGGTTTAAAATCAAGTGGAATTTTTGATTTGTATAAACTGTCGTGCGGTTAACTGTACATGTTTATCTGCTTTATTGAAAATCTTTGTAGATAGTTATAAAAATTAACTTCAATTTTAAATATGTAGTTTCATTTTTGTAGTTTCCATAAAATCGAGATGTTGGTTCTTAGTTAAATTTTAAAACAACAGCACGTTCTGAACTTGCCACTAACCACTACCGTGTAAATAAAAATAATTCGTCATAATACTTAACTCGACTTAAAAAAAATAGATAGACGACCTTTTAAATGAGATATTTACTAAACTTCTGACGGTAAATATTTACTAATTGATAAAAGAGAGAGACCGATTACGAAACAAATAAATCAGATTATTACTAATTTCATCGATTGTGTTACTGAATCGGTAACAATTGATACATCACTATTCAGTTTCGTAATCGATGCTGTGCCAATAGGTGAACTCACGCGGCCGAATATCCACCGAGAACAGCGACCTGCGCGGTGACGAGCGATGAATAAATGGGTTTTGAAATTGTGCTTTACGATTTTATCACTAGATTTTATTCACTATTGATATATTAATGTTAGCTCATAAAATTAAGAAAACCTAAGGATAGTAGAAAAGAAACTAGGCCTTATCCTGTAAGAGTGAACGAATGAACAACTTCACTGAACCATATAAATATACAAGCTTTTCTTCAGCAGCTTTGCACGTGTGGTCCCTAAAGAACTGTTAAGTGGGATGAAAAGTAGCCCATATGATAATCCAGGCTTTGAATTTAATTTACTAATTAATTTGGATTAGGTTTCATATTATGACTTGGATATATAATTACAATGACAAATCGAATAGTCCCTATATAAACTTCCACTCCTATTTTTATCCCTTTTTTGGGTGTTGATCGTGATAAAATATATATTGTATCCATGAGCATATGATGTAGGTTCCCGTAAGTGAAAGATTTTTTAAAATCACACAAGGAGATCTTTCGTCATTATAACATTAGTATAAATAAATTATATTCAAAACTAACAAACTATAGTCAGGTGATATGACAGAGTAAATAAAACAGATTTATTAGTACACCTTTACCCAGTAATTAAGTATAGTTCGATCTTTATTAGTGATACCTTTTAATAACTATTTTTCGACAATAAAAATAGATCGCTTGATAACCAATATTAGAATGTATTATTACAAAGACAAGATCAGCAAATTAAGAGACGATTGATATCGCTGCTTTGTCGTGATTTACCGTTTGAGATAAAAAAAATCGCTAGGACCATTACCTACAAGTAAATATTTTTTATCTTAGTTTATTCTTCATTACGTAGACAAAACGAATGAATAAAACATTTTGTTTTATAGCGTTAATCACAACGATATCTATAGATATGTTTATATATATATAATTGTTATAGATGATTAGCTGTTTCCCGCAACTTCGCTCGCGTATGATGTAGCTCCAGTAGGAAAAAGAATTTTAAGAATTGTCAATTAAAAGGCTTAAACAATATCTTATACTTCTGATCGTTCAAAACATCGATTGCGGTTTATCATTTTGTGATAGCTATAGGCAAAAAGTTCATATACCTTTACATGTAATGGTATTTATTGGAAAAATAGTAGAGTATGCCTTGAGCAAACTTTCAGTAACAGGTGACCCGCTCTCTCTTTCAAAACTTACATGTCACATGACATATTTCTATCAAATGTATCTTTGTGTATTGGTCTTTACCATCGTGGTCAAGTAATATTTACATAGGCACACACTACAGGTAAGAATCAAACCAATATAATTGTACACCTCTAAGGTCCTGGGTTCAATTCGGGCTAATGTAGAAAATGTTTTTTTTTTCTATATTGTTTCAGATTTCCATAATACCAAAATCTGAAAACTTCGTGAGATTTTTCTAATATTTATTTATTTAGTCAAATGACAATTTATGAAAATTAGGATCTTATTTTATTAACGTTTCAAGGTTGTAATATATGCAATTTTTAGATTAATTTTAAATATATGATAATATTATCAAGGTTTTTTGTGAAACAAAAACATAAATTTTAATTTATTTAATAATTGGCCATCATAAAGAAGGCTGAATAATTTGTTACAATGTTTTAACATCTATTATATTTCATCAAAAATCTAACTTTGTGTGATATTTGATTTACTTTTTTTCTATGTTGTAACAAAAAAGGAGCTACAGCTACCCAGTGAAAAATGACATAAATCATACCTGTGTGACAGCAGCGACGACGTAGAAAAGTGTCAGTGTAATACACATGAACAGGAGCCGTTGACGCGCCATCACGACACTATACACACACTATCCACTGTACACTTGACTAGTCTACTAGTGTTGCCAGACCATCGCCAGTTAACTGAAACCAATGAAGAGAAAACAATTAAAATTGTAAATACTAAACTTATAGAACACTAATGAAACGATTCTAAATTTATTAAATATAATAATTAGAACAAATTTTATTCAAAATAGTTGTTTTCATAAGAAATTTTATCTAAGCTTTATTAAATTTGCTTGTTAACGATTGTATTTCAAAAGGAACCCTAAAAACAACAATGCAATACGCAGCAATTAGGCAGAGTTAGATCGGAAAGGGATAATGCATAATTAATTGAATAAAACCATTCAATCAAAAATACAATGCAACCGAAAAAGTTTGCATTATTCGCTAGACTCCATGGAACTGGCATTCTTCTTGTGTTAAGAATAAATTTTGAGAACTTGAAACTTAAGTACGATAAACCTATTTTGTATATGAATTTTTAATTTTTAACCGACTTCATATAAGAAACAGTATGTAATTAATATAAGTTTCTCCATCATAATTTTTCATTTATATACTATACTCCCATAATTTATGTAGTATATCTGCAAAAATCGTGACATCTTCTCAATCAATATTAAAGAAACGTTTTATTTTTTTAACACACAAAAATTTAAAAATATCTTAAGGTTTTTATCATAACTGAATAGTAGGTCAACAAATTCAAACTCCTTCGGACGTGATGTGGTCAAAAACTTGAAAGTAACGAAAGTCCAAATGGCTGTCCCACTTCAGAAGTTATCTTGTTTGTGAACCAACATTCCAATTACCTACTATATTATTTTACATATCGCACACCTAGATCTAAACTGAGACAACTCAAAAATTTGAGTGAGTTTTGGCTTTGTACAATATTCCAATTCTCGGTGATCATACGCATCTATCCAACATAACAGATTCAATAAAGGTTCGGGGATGAGCCGCTAGATAACTTTAGCTTTCTTTTGTTGAATCAACATTGGTCGCGTTCCTGCCACGTAAACAAATGTATTGTCAGACCTCCACATTAGTTTTTTGAGTTGTCTTAGTTTAGATCTAGGTGTGCGATATTTTGGTTATTATATTTTTAGAAATAGCGTGTAGATATAAAAATCTACTAACTCTTTTTGTATTGAATTATTTTTAATGAGCTACTGAGTAACATAGCCTAAAAAAGCTCAATAATACTGTGGATTTTTTATTATATTTTTTTAATTATTTAAATATTATTGATAAATCTGTGTGGGCGATAAGGCCGCATTGTATTAGCTTGCATAATGTAAAATAAACATACAATATATAATCATATAATTTACAGATTTTATTTTCTGCGCTATTGTTCTAATATTAATTAATAGTTTAATATCAATGTTTAACGGAGGACGAGCCATGATAAATATGATCTATATCAGTCAAATCATGATTTATTTTATAACCATGCTACCTTGCATGAATGCACGATGAATCTCGCAAGTTTCATTTGAGACATTCACTAATGTCATATAAAAGACTTCAACGCATCATTTAATTTGTAAGGAAAACTGTTTTAAAGCAAAACATTATTTTGGACCGATACAAAAGGATACCAATCTAAGCGAATGGTTTCTTTCAAATGTAGTTCTTTTTTTTGCACTTAAATATTACCTTAATATTATAAATATTAAGTTTTCAAACTAAACAAGTTTATTATTATCCTAACAAGCAATGCAACTTTCCGTTTTGACGTACCCATACTAATTACTACAGGTACCTATTCAGCCGGTGATATATATTTTTAAATTTATAGGTTATATAGGAATTTATAGGAATTCCTTACCTGAAGAAATAATGCGCGATCCTTCATTAAAGTGTTTTAAAAATATGTTAAAGGAATACTATCTATCACTTTAGGAACAAATGCTTTCGTATCATCCTGTTATATTTATCTTGGTACTGTTTTATTTTAAATGTTTGTATGTATATTGTATTATATTATATTATATATAGTATATTATATTTATATGTAGAGGTATGTATATATGTAGGTGTTCTCTCGCAATGTAAGACACCATCTACTACCCGTCTATTCAGTAACAGTCCAGTCTAACCTACGGTTACCTGGCAGAAATTGCTCTTTAGCGATAAGGCCGCCGATTGTACAACTAAACTGTATCAATTGTAATTTCTCTATAATTTATGGTGTACAATAAAGAATTTATTCATTCATTCATTCATATAGGTTTTCTAATAGTTAAACTTTTAAAGAATATCATTAGCATTAAGTCCGCCATTTGTACCACTTATTACCTGGTAAATTAAAATTGTTATGTTTAGTGATGTGTACTTTCTAAGAAATACTGTATTATCGATTTATTTGTTTTTCTAGGTCAACATTGATAAAAGAGCAAAGGGGAGACATGATAAGAGGCTACCTACGTACTACGAAATGATAGCAATATATAAACAGTAGTGTTGTAATTATAAAGTTTTGACATACACATGATCTTAATTTAAACAGTGAATACACGATTAATGTAAATATTTCAGGGTCAAATCGTACGACGTGATCGTGATTTTAATAGGAGGGTGATTATTGTCTGTTCATAGTATTTTTCTAAAATCAGGTTATACAAACCTGTCAAAGTTCGTCACTAGATTTTGAACCTTAATACGTTGAGGATAGACTAGAAAATCAAATGCGAAAATTTGACAAATATGTTAACCAGATGTGTTGCTGTGCACGTGGAATTGTTGACATAGGTACATATTTCATCTTATTTAAATCTAAATATTTACAATTTCAAAATGTGTTAGGTTTTCTATTATACATTTAAATTCAATTAAGAAATCTTATTAATCTATTTTTGTTGCATATACAGATCAAGCGGGTTATTTTTAATATTATGAGTTGAGTCTAATATTTAAGTAAATGTTAATACTAATTATTTATGCATTTTAATGTAATATAATTTTCAAATGACATTTAATGTATCTGTTTTGATAATAACATAGTAATATTTTGTATCTACTAATACAATAAATTGTATTTTTAGAACTGGCTCTAAATATTTAAAACAATCGTATTTGAATTGATAAAGTTGCATTCACTTACTTGATTCACCTTTTGCGGCAATATAAACTTAGAAACTGATTACTAAATGTCAACAACACTCAAAAATCGATAATAACCGGTTCAAATATGTAACAAACTGATTCGATACAACACTACAAATGTCACTTTTGAAAATGTTACGTTCGATAATAGAATCTGTTTTGTGTTAAAAACTTTTTGGCGTTAACTTTTTCGTGTTCGATGTTCGAATTCGTTCGACCGCGCGCGTGCGTCCCGTGTTAAGTTAGCGCGTTTACTGATCCAATGGTGTTTGGTGCGTCTCGTAGTTGATGTCTTTACCCTGTTAAGAGTCCTTCGCGTCCTTGAGAGTTTACAAAGTCTCGTTACTGATTGTTACCTTATTGAGTATTGTGGTATAAGCCTGCTATTATATAATACATTATTCACAAACCTTGTCAAAATGATTAATCAACACTAGAAGCAAATAATTCATAAAATGACTAAAATATTTTTCTTTATACTAATTCCTTTTAAACGTGATAATAAAGTGTAAAAATAACTAAAACAGCAAAAATCCTGCATGTGTAAAATTTTTTTTATTTTTTATTTTTCTATTTATTAATTATCATTCTCTACACTATCAAATTGTCTATCCTACTTAATTATTAATGTACACTCAAACATTTTCAACCGTGTATTTTTTTTTTCTTAACAACTAAAGAGTTTATTTCATTTTAGTTAAAGTTAATATATTATTCATACAAATAAATAACAAATAAGCTTATTGAAAGCACTTTTGAATCGTCCATCATTGCGACAACCTTCTTCTTTTTTTAATTATTGTCAGTTAATTCAGATTATTGCATTTATGCACAAATTTTTATTTTTGTGCTACAACAAACAAACATCTGAATGTTGTGTTTATAATGAGGAAAAATTTTGTTTTTTTTTAAATTATAATAATCGCCTTTTTTCTGACTTTTGTTACTGATTAATAAACTCTATTCATTCGTTCAGTACGCACATTATAAAAATATTGTTGAGAGTTGATGGCGTTCTGTTGGTGATAGTTCAACTAACAACTTAAAGCAATAAAAGTAACTTACCTAGTTGTTATTGTTTTCAGACCTTTCGTTAAATATTATAATAAATAAATGCCTACATCTGCAATGCCATATGTATTTCAATTTAAAAAAAAACCACGTCATGGTAATGTTATATACCGAATCGAAATACTACTTTTTATAATTTCATGGCAATATTTTAAGGTTTTGCATAGCTTTTGAAAACTCTTCTCTATGCTATCTTACCTATAAATTACTTTTCATTTTCCTTTGTACCAATAAAAAAGTAATCAGTTCAAAGTTTCGTTCATCGTACTTAATTAAATTGCGTTTAACTCGACCTCGTCATATATTCGAGTTATCAAATCCATAACAACACTGACAATTCTTTTCTCTTTGGTCGAACGTCATGAATTGACATTTAGATCCTACAATTTGTGCTGCCATCTAGTGACATAAACTTTTTTAGTTTCTTTATTTTTTATATATTTCCTAAATACGTATAAGTACATGCCGTGGGGTGCCGGCCTAAGAGTAGCACCCCCCCATATCCTCCCGTGGATGTCGTAGGAGCCGACTGAGGGATTATACGGAAGGCGGGCAGCAGCGCCTCCCGGTATCACCTACCACCACCTACTGCGATCCCCAAGTGGGGATTATGGCAACCCCCCCCCCCTCATGATGGACGACAATGTTGTATGGCCCCCAGACCCCGGCAGCCCCTCTATTCCTGTCTCTGGTAGCGGGACAGGTAACGGAGGGGCAGAGGGTGCTAAGAATCCCCGGCAGATTCGGCGCTACCAACACAAACGGACTCTGGCCCTGGCAACATACAATGTCCGCACACTGAAGACTGACGTGAAGTTATTAGAGCTGGAGGAAGAATTGAGCAAGTTGCGATGGGACATAGTGGGATTATCCGAAATCCGAAGAGAGGGCCAGGATACGGTAATCCTTGAGTCCGGTAACATGCTCTTCTTCCGGGAAGGAGATCAAAAATCTCAAGGTGGTGTTGGGTTTCTCGTCCACAAGTCTCTCGTGAACAACGTGGTGAAGATCGATAGTGTGTCGAGCAGAGTGGCGTACCTTATACTCAGAATTACTGAAAGGTATTCGCTGAAGGTCATACAGGTTTACGCCCCGACCTCTTCACACTCCGACGATGAGGTAGAGGCTATGTATGAGGAGATTTCTGAAGCCATACATACGACTAATACCTACTTCACCGTTGTAATGGGGGACTTTAACGCGAAGCTGGGCGCTTCGAACGGCGATGAGTTGAGGGTGGGTCGATTTGGGTATGGGCGGCGCAACCACCGGGGCCAGAAGCTGGTCGATTTCATGGAGAAGGAGGGACTCTTTGCGATGAACTCCTTCTTCCAGAAGAGACCCTCCAGGAAGTGGACCTGGATGAGCCCTGATGGTTCGACAAAAAATGAGATCGACTTCATCATGACAACCAGAAAGCACATATTCAATGATGTCTCCGTGATCAGCAGGGTGAAAACCGGTACCGATCACCGAATCGTTAGAGGCACATTGAATATCAATGTTAAGCTCGAAAGATCACGTCTGATGAAGTCTACGCTCCGTCCTAGTGCTGCTCATATCGTGGACCCCGAAGCCTTCCAACTCCAACTACACAATCGCTTTCAGTGTCTAGCTGAATGCGAGTCTGTGGACGAAATAAACAACGGGTTTGTAGAAACAGTCCAAGCTGTGGGGTCTAAGTTCTATAAGGCCCCGCGCCGTATTAAATCTCAAAAGCTCTCAGACGAAACGCTCAAGTTGATGGCGGACCGGAGGGATATGAGACTGCAATCTTCAACCGATATGTCGGAATATGGTCGACTTAACAGACGAATTTCCAAATCGATGCGATGGGATCTGCGCTCCTATAATACTACACGTATTAGGGAGGCAATAGAGCGGAATCAAGGCTCCAAAGTGTTTGCACGAAATTTGTCTGCTGGGTCGAGTCAGATGACGAAGCTGAAGATCGACGACGGCAGGATCGTATCGTCAAAACCGGAGATTCTGATTGAGCTTGAGAGGTTTTATGGACAGTTGTACACATCATCACAACAACCCGTTGAAAGCAATGCTCAAGACACCAGAGCAAAGCTAACCCGACATCACACCGAGGATATCCCAGACATCAGCCTGTACGAGATTAGAATGGCACTCAAACAGCTCAAGAACAAAAAGGCACCGGGGGATGACGGAATCACTACTGAACTTTTGCGAGCGGGTGGAAAACCGGTACTCTTAGTCCTCCAGAAATTGTTCAATTCCGTTATTCTCGAGGGTACGACGCCAGAAGCGTGGCACAGAGGCGTGGTTGTGCTCTTCTTCAAAAAAAAGGTGACAAGACTTTGTTGAAGAATTATAGACCAATCTCGCTTCTGAGTCACGTTTATAAGCTGTTTTCGAGGGTTTTTACGAATCGTCTCGAACGCCGGTTTGATGACTTCCAGCCTCCCAAACAAGCCGGTTTCCGAAAAGGCTTTAGCACCATAGACCACATACATACGCTGCGGCAGATTATACAGAAGACCGAGGAGTATAATCTGCCACTTTGCTTAGCGTTTGTGGACTATGAGAAAGCCTTCGATTCAATCGAAACCTGGGCAGTACTGCAGTCCCTCCAGCGATGCCAAATCGACTACAGGTACGTCGAAGTGTTGAAGCGTTTGTATAGCAACGCCACAATGTCGATTCGCTACCAGGAAGAGAGCACGAAACCAATCCAATTGCGCGGAGGCGTGAGACAGGGAGATGTCATTTCTCCGAAACTGTTCACGAATACATTGGAGGACGTCTTCAAGCTCTTAGAATGGGACGAATACGGCATCAACATCAATGGCGAATACATCTCTCACCTTCGTTTCGCCGATGATATAGTCATCTTGGCAAGATCGATGGAGCACATCAGTACAATGCTCAGCGACCTGAGTATCGTTTCCAAACAGGTGGGTCTTAAAATGAACATGAACAAGACGAAAATCATGTCGAATGTCCATGTTGCACCCGTACCGGTGGTCATTGGAACTGATACTCTCGAAGTTGTCGATCACTACGTGTACCTTGGACAGACAATCCAGTTAGGTAGATCCAATTTCGACAAAGAGGTCGCTCGAAGAATCCAACTCGGCTGGGCAGCGTTCGGGAAGCTACGCGATATCTTCACGTCCAAATTACCACAGTGCCTAAAGACGAAGGTGTATAACCAGTGTGTGTTGCCAGTGATGACCTATGGCACTGAAACGTAGTCCTTAACTGCTGGCCTCTTAGAGAAGCTCAGAGTCGCTCAGCGAGGCATGGAGAGAGCTATGTTAGGGGTTTCTTTGCGCGATAGGATCCGAAACGTGGATATTCGCCAAAGAACTAGAGTGACCGACATAGCTCGCAAAGTTTGTAAGCTGAAGTGGCAGTGGGCAGGCCACATCTCTCGACGAACCGATAACCGATGGGGACGAAAGGTTCTCGAGTGGAGACCACGAACCAGAAGACGCAGCGTGGGTCGACCCCCACCGTCCGATGGACGGACGACATCGTCCGAGTCGCGGGCGGCCACTGGATGCAGCTGGCGCAATGTCGTCCGTCGTGGCGTTCAAAGGGGGAGGCCTATGTTCAGCAGTGGACGTCTTCCGGCTGATGATGATGAAATGATGTATAAGTACATACTTTATAATATAATTAATGTTCAATTTGTTCAAATGAATAATGCTTCCTCATAGTTTCTTTAACTCATATTATGGTGCGTTTATTAATACATCAATACACTGCTTATGGGTGAATAATAACATAACTCACCTATATCCTCTTGGTATGTAACATAAAGGATGACCAATGCTTATTAATTATGTCTATGTCATTCCGGTTGCCTTATATGATAATATACATATTATGTGTGCTTAAATGAGATTTTTTCCATAACTTTTCGTATTAAAAATAATTTACTGTACATAACATAATTAAATTAAACCATAATTCGCACCAGCCACTAAATTGTACATGCTATCTGTTTATTTAATAGAAAAATATCACATGAAATTCTTGATAGTTTAAGATAATTGATCTCAGAGAGACGGTTACATCATAGAACAATTCAAAAATATAAGGAATTAATGGCTGAATGGTTAAACTTTGATTATGGAGTGACTGAAAGTATATGCACATACCTTAGCTACACAAATAAAATGTAAAGACTATATATGGTATAACTGAGTA